CTTGGGTTGGGGCTGGAAGTAGACCTTGCAGTGGTTGGGTGGATAGAAAGCTGCTAAGGGTAGAACCAACTTGGGCCTCCCTGCTTTGTAGCCAATCAGCACTTCCTGCTCCCTCCAACCCCCGCAATCCAGCCCCCTATAGTGACTGCTCAGTGCATGGAAAGACTGTGGGCTGTGAAATCAGTTCTGCTCTGGCACATTCTATCTGGGAGATTCTATCTGGGTCATCTAAATCTCAGTGAGCTTTATTTTTACTTTGTCTGTAAAAATGGTGATAAAATGTGTCTACTTGGATGAGTAGATGCTTAAAAAGTCAGTCAAAGGGTATAGTCCTGGGATTCTCTTTTGGGGTTTTCTGGAGGTTTTTGCCACTACACACAGAACCCTGGACCCAATAGGGTAAGAAAAAGCAATAAGGCGATGTGCCGTCAAGAGACATCTCTGGGTCTCTACATGTATGTGACAGTGTTGCTTTTAAGACTATGAAGAGATAACAGACTGAGATGTGGTTTGTTTACCTGGATTGTCCCTGGAGGACCTGCCAAAGGGGTCTCTGTAGCTTTAGTGTCTGGGGGAGATCTTGCCGAGCCCTGGGGGTCTTCGCTTCGAGTCTGATCTGGAGAAAGCCCATCACTGCTGCTGTCCTCTTCGAAGGCAAACGCATCCGCTGATTTAGAGAAACTCACCTGGTTGCCTGAGGGAGTGAAATCCAAGAACTGGGTCAGTGGCTTTGGCACACACAACTGGGCTTTTCAGAAATGCTACAATGTGTCATTCCTATTAAGACTAGCTCCTTAGATCCATTTTCGATTCAAGGTAAGAGTGAAGGGATATCTTAAGTTATTTGGTTTCTCATCTATTTAGTCCCTATGGAGACTTGTGTTTATAGAGATGATAAAGAATGAGTGACATGTAAAAGGTTTACCATCATATGTTAAAATTTATTTTCAGGTTTATTAATTCTAGTACATTTTCTATGTGAACCCATATCTTTCTGAAACTAAATCAGGGACGATGAAGGAAAGAAAAGGGGTCACTGGATGCAGAATGAGGCCAATGGAGAAAGTACTAAGAGAATGCCTCATCTCCCTTAGGTTTTACGACGAGAGATATAATTGAGATGACAGTGTGCCATTTGCATCATGTCCAAGTATAAAGCAGGGCACACTGCACAAAATGTTTAGCAAACTTTGCTAACAAGGATAAGCTAGGACAGCTACTAAGTTTAAATTCCTCAATGTCAGAATTAGCTAGTGTCACCAGAGTGTCCCAAAGCCCCATTCAACTAATGCATATTTGTTTATAAAAGCCATAAATGTGTCTCAGAAACATCAGCATGATCTTTATTTGTGTATTAATTGGATTTTCTCTTGATTCCTCATATCTTTGTGTCTATTTTGGAAATCTTTACCAGCTTGCACATTCAGAGATTCTTCCTCAGCAGCCTACATGGTCTTTGGAGGGGAACAGATACCTTAGCTCAAGGAGAGGGGTTATCAGATCAGATGGGACTAGAATAACATCCTTATATGTCCCTTATGGTTTTTTAATTGCCAAATTTCATCTGGTTTATTATCCAACTGCACAGTACAAAATGTGCTGAGGCCACATCGTGCATCTGACCTGATTCCGGGCACAGCTCTTCTAAAGGAATTTAAGTATTATCAGGAAGTTTTCCAGCCCGGTATTCTGCAATCACACTGACAAGAACTTTTGACTCCTGCTCTGTGCAGATAAGACAGAGCTTTCACCATGCAGACTGGGAAGGCAACGAGGAGCTGGAAGTAATGGAACAAATGTGGTTTGGGGCTTGTCATCGCCGCCACTGCTGGCATCTGTCATGGTCCCTCACTCAGACATCCAAGGGTCAAATCAGGAAAGAGGCCAGACAAGGACAGGTGGAAACTCCAGTTGCTGGCCCACTAGGCAGCCTGCTAACCTGGAAAGGTTTTGCTGCTCCAGGGTGTTGAATATTCTTTATAAAAGTCATTATTGATTTTCTATGATTATAAAAGTTATATATACTTATCATAAAAATTCATATCATATGAACTATACATAATAATCCCACTTGTCATTAATAACTTATTTCCTCTTCTAGATTTAATTCTATACATACAGCAAGACATATACACATGAATTTAAAAAGCATTTCATACAGATAGAACTGGGTGGAATATACTATTCTGAAACTTGCTCTTTTTCACTCTACAATATTCCCCGGAGATCTTTCCATGTGGGCACATAGAGCCCTTCCTCAATTAAAAAAGTAGTTTTTGGTAGCAGCTGCACAGTATTCCATTGTATTAATTGGGACTTTTATTTTTTAACTTTTATTTTCTAAGGTGCACTTTTTTTAACTATAAAAATTTGAAATGCTAGACAAGTACAGAGAATAATATAAAACATCTGTTTACGTATTACCTGAATTAAATACATGCTAGTATTTATACTTATATTTGTATCAGAAACCTATTCATTTTCTAACATTGGGTATTTGACAAATGCCAACTTTTTCTTTGAGATCAGGGGTTACTCTGCTTCCCTGTTAGTACTCTGGTCTCAAACACCTTCCTCTGTATTTTAAGAGTCCAGAGTTAGCTCATAAGCAACCCTTTTCCTTTTCTCACAGCAAACTCTGCACTCTGCAAATAAGCCCATATTTGTCATTTTCATGCAGTGTGAAAAATATATATATAATCCTTTCTCAAAAGGATCATTTGCCTGAGATAGTCTCAGGAAAATCCTTCCAGCTGCCTCCATGCATATGCTTCCATTGTAAACTTAACCCATAAATTTCCTTATTTTAGAAATCGCATTTTCATTTAAATTTAAAGTTCTACTTCTGTTTGTGGAATTAAAAGCTTTGTTCCTGTTAAAAGGATTACATGTATTATTGAGGGCCAGGTGGGCATGGGAGTTGGAGGGGTGGGAGGTGTCAAGCCTTCCCCACCTCAGAAATCACAGCATTTTATTGAGATCTACTTGGCACACACCCTGAGCAGCACCATTTCTGTTCTCAGGGAACCCTGCGTGTGGCTGTGCTAGCCCCCTGAGGCAGCGGTCTTCTCTGCACAACAGGATCCCCCATCTGACGTTTTTATTATCTTATATTTCTTCCTCACTTCTTCACTTTAAATGGATATGGATCTTCTCTGTGGGGTCTGATTCTTGAGGTGACAAAGATCCTCCCCTTCTGCCCCTGCCATCTCCACTTACACCTAAACGGAGTATCACCTTTCAAATGTGTACCAATTGGAGGGAGTTAGCCAAATTGCAAAGTTGTCCAAGTAGTGTAACATGTGGATAGAAATGTTGCCAGAAGGCCGGGGGCGGAAAAGAGAGAATGGTGTCTCTCCTTATTCTCCAACAATCCCACTTTTCAAATGGAGTAAATGATAAAAGTAGTTCACTTAATAGTGCAGCAATAACAAAAATCAAGTTTTTTTAAGCCTCATAATGGACCAGCAGGTCAGAGTAGGGGGCACGTTTTCTCATCTCTGTGTTGAGGACATTGCAAGATCCAATCCGCCCAGAGACTAAGTTAAAACTGTGGGCCCAGCCTTTGTACTCTAAGAGCCACCAGCAGAGGGGACGGGAAATCAATTACCCTCCATGGAGGCCATCAGGAGACACGCTGTTTAGGGAACATTGTAAGACCTGCTGGTTGGTTGCAGGGAGGCAGCATAGCAAGTGGCCAACATCTCTCCTCTTTCTGCACACATGTACTAAGGACATTTCCATATTCCACATCTTTTCCTTGAACTTTTGTGATTTGAGGGGCTGAATGTGACATATTGATTGTGAGAACAAAGAAGGCAGGAAATTCTAGGAAGGGTGATCGTGGGGATTTTATTGGGACTTATTTCAGAAAAGGTTTGGAAGGATAGCGGAAGCTCTGTTATCATCACCAGTAAATCAGCATGTCCTTTGTACTTTAACATTTGGCATCTGGTGACCTCAGCTCGAGGCACTGGAATGAGTGGAAAAGTCTAGAAGTCAAGTGTCTGGAATAAAGGAGTTGGTAATCAGCCCCATTTTCTCCAGCACTCAACAGATTCTCAATTATTTTGTTCATCTTTAGCCTTTTTACATTAAGAGGAATAGAGAGAAGCAGAAGCATAATCAGATACAATATGGCAAGAGATGAAAAACCATAAACCATTATTTATGTATTGCCATGGGACACAACTGGAAAACTGTCAAGGACTAGACTGTCTGGAGAAAGCTGCAGGTAGTTTTAGATGAAAGAGATAGCAGTGTGGAGTTGTGCAAGAGAATCCTGCAGGAGGCAGGATTAAATTGAGCCTGAAATGATGGTCAGATGTAGATAGAAGAGAAAAAAAAGGGGGCATTTCACAAGAATGGGGAGAGTGGAAAGGAAGTGACAAGGTGGTGGTTAGCAGAGTTTGGGTGGGAAAGGTGAGGAAGAAACTCCCAGTCAAGGGAGAGGATGGTTTTGGGAGCCAGTCCCTGGAGAGACACAGCTTCCAAGAATCTACTTTATCAAGTGACATTAGTCATTTAAAGAGGTTCCTCTGGTTAAATCAATGAAGAAATCATGAGCACATGTAACCACATATGGGGTAGTTGTTTACACCTGAAAGCCAAGACCCCAAATATGGCTCCCATCTGGTATGTAAAAAGCATAACATGCTGGGTCAGAATATGCCGACAGATACATTGAGGACCACGTAGGGGCTGTATAGGCCAAAAGACCCCACCATGGGTCCCCTGCCAAACCACCACTCTCTGAGCTCTACAAGTGGTTTGACTTTGCTGTTGCTAGGGCAAAAGATGAATGAAAGGGCAGAGAGTCCCCACACAGCTACACATTCAGCTCGGTCCCTGTTGACGAAGAGAAACGTAGCAGCGGAGAGGGCCCTGAGAGCACATGGCAATGGCTTCCTTTTGAGACGATGTATGTGGTGTTTGGTGTGGTCAGCAAGAAGTTGGGTTCTGGAGTCAAACAGACTTTGTTTGTTTCTTGGTTCTACTACTTCAGCTGGCAAGTTATTTAGCCTCATGGAGCCCCAGTTTCCCCCTCTATGAGATGGGAATAATAACAATAGCTACCTCTCAGGGTTTTGAGGATTAATATAGCACAACATATGTAAACCATTGGGTTTGCATATGTTATGTTATTTACATAGTCCCTGATGTGCAAGTTTTCAATAATTTCTAGCTGCTGTTATTGTTATCATTGTTTTTGTTAGGAGTATCTGCTTGTCTCAAGTTTACCATTATCAAAATAAAGAAGACCACCCAGGAAGCAGTTTATCCTGTGGTGAGGTTGCAAAGGTCAGCACAAATCCAGAGCCAGAAAAACTGGTTTGTCCTGAGTGGTTCATCCTGGGAAAGCAGAGACAGACCTATCCCAGAACAGGAGGAGTGTCACAGGAAAGGCTGCACATTACTCCTTCTCCTTCCTGGTTCAAGCTAGACTCATGTGGAGAGGGACAAAGGTCAGCTTATCTGGCTACCTCTTGAACAACCAAGTCTATCAGCTTTGTGCTGTGGCCCTGGGCCTCTGCTCCAATCTCCTCCAGTGTGAGGCTTTCTGGGGCTGTGGGCTGGCTATTGTCCCTGTAGACACGTCGGGTGGTGTGATGACAAGGACCTACTTTGGGAAGCCCTGACATCATCCCCCAGCTATGCTCCTGGGGCTTGCTCTGGGCACTGGCCTCTTGGGGA